CATTCTGGGATTCTGTGAACTTACAGATGCAAAGCACGCAGCGACCGACCCACACGCTACTCTGAGCCGGAATCCTTCCATTCTGGGATTCTGTGAACTTACAGATGCAAAGCACGCAGCGACCGACCCACACGCTACTCTGAGCCGGAATCCTTCACCGCGCTGTACCTGTGTGACAGGGAGCTTTTCTTTTTTGCACGGGTCTGCGACCAAACTTCTGCTTCTCTGAATACAGCAGTCAGCAAAAGGAAAATACAGACTTCTAGCAGACAACACAAAGAGTTTAAAGAACTTTTTTTTTTTTAAAAAAAAAGATGCTGTCTTTAGCTTTCCCTTTATTTTGTAGCATCATGCACCAAAGAACATTACTTCTGCAGGCACAAGTTCATGCAGAGAACACCACTCTCACTAAAATAGAACTACTTCAGGTTATGCAACATTCATTAAAATTACAAAACCTCTCAAAAACCTGACCAGCATGTTAAGGCCCACTGGAGCTCGCCGGTGGTTAAGTGAGTGGCTGCATCATGCAAACTGGCAGCGAGGAACTCGGCAGAAACAAACTTTCACGCCCGATGACAAGGCAAGAACTCCGAGCACCCAAGGGCGGGGACCGAGTGCCGCAGCCCGTCTCAGCAGAAGGGAATTCACAGAGAAGATGCCAATTCTTCCCGAGGAAGGTTTAGACTGAGAAGTGCCAGGATGGTTTTTTTATTCCATCAATATTCATATTACATTATCCGTTTCAAAATTCCTCCAAACTTCATTAAATTCTACGGAATTAATCCCCTCTCGTTTCCTGTGAGTACCGGGATCTCGTTCCCTGGACAGCAGCTGGGGTGACCAGTCCAAACCGCTCACCGCTCCATCTCACAGAAATAAAGTCTTAAACTCTGTCCCCATCCCACTACCCTTTCCTCACATCTCTGTTTCAGTAAAGATTATTCCAGAAGGCAGCACAATTTATAGACGTGGCAGTTCCACGTGGTTTAAGTCATTAACAAATTGCAGGAGGGAAAAGGGGACGGCTGCAGGTAGCCTGGGGCAGGGTTAAAACCAAACCCCACACCGTGACAGCGATGGAGGACGTCTCCCACCACGGCAATCGCCAGCCTCGGACGACAAGAAGCTAGCGTGGCTTCACACCCACAACTGCAAGTTGACTTACGTGTTCTACGATATACCTGCCAATTTAACACGGAAGGACTAAAAATAATCGGGAGTTCTGGAACTTCGACCACGCTGCCCGTCCCTCGGACTCTGGGAATTCGCCCCGTGAGACAGGCAAGCAGCACCGACAGCGCTCAGCCAGGAAACCAGTCATGCCACACTCGCTTGTGCCCCGGGGGATTAACGTCATGCCAAACAGCAAGGTCTTGAGCGCAAGCTGCCCGGGTTACTGCCGCCAGCTCACACCCCAAGCACACACCTTTTTCTGGCCTCTGCCGGCTCACGCCGGCGGCTTTCGGCTGCCTCAGTTTCTCCTGGTCCAGAGCAGCAGACCTGGCTGGCAGAGGCACCCCTCTTGACTTTGTGGGTCTCATGTAGCCTTTTATCTCCGCCGCTTTCTCTTTCTTTGCCTCCTTCACAGCTTTTCGTTCATGTTCTTTTTCTTTAGCTGAGCCTTGAGGTTTATCTGCTTCGGATTTCGACGCCGGGGCAGGCTCCAGGTGGGCGTCCTCGTCCGCAGGCGGAGCAGGAGCTTTGTTGTCATCTCCAGGACTCGGTTGGGGCATCCGGGCGGGCGTCG